CAACCCCCAACACACGCGCGCTCAGGTTCTAAGCCACTTTCAGCGTCTGCACGCACACACACATGCTGAGGTCCAAATTTAGTGCCCAAACACTCGAGCACACGCTCAGGTCCTACGTCACCACCTCAGCACACACGCACGCTCGCGTTCTAAGCCACCTTCAGCGCCTGCGCACGCGCACGGACACGCTCGCCGCACGCCACCGAGCGCCGTGCCTGGCCCCTCGAGAGCTCGTCCACGTTCAGGTACTACGTACCCGACCCCCAGCACACACGCACGCTCGAATTCTAAGCCACTTCCAGCTTCTGCCCACACACACACACACACACACACACACACACACACGCTCAGGTCCAAATTTAGTACCCAAACACACAATCACCCACCCACTCTGAAGCCCTACGTCGCCACCTCAGCACACACGCATCCAGCACATGCACACACTCACATGCTGAGGTCCAAATTCAGTGCTTAAGCACTCCAGCACACATTCACGCCCAGGTCCCACATCACCACCCCAGCACACGTCCATGCTCGGATTCTAACCCAGTGTCCGAGAACTCAAGCATGTACTTCCACTCACCTCCAATTCAGTGTTCGAGCTCTGGAGCACACACCCTCTCTCGGCCCCAAATCCCACGCTCCGCAATTCGAGCACACAACTATGTACAGAGCCCCGTCCAGCTATTGAACACTAAAGCTTGCAGCCTTACACAGATCCACTCCGTCGACACGTGTTCTACAAAACCACGCTCAGCATCCCCTCCGTCGACTGGGCACTCTAGCACACATTTTCGCTCAGATCTACCTCAATAGTGTCAGCAAAAGAGCACACATCCACACTCACCGACTGTGCCTTTACAAACTTTCACCTCAATCTACATAGGGCACGCGAATATCCAATGCACCTCTAGTGCCTGAGCGCACGTTGCACACACGCCCATTGTTGTGCAGAAAAGGCTCACAAGTACACATTCTCAGCCCTAGCGATCCTACCCCCTCCCATTCTAGCCCCTTCTTACTGAACTGCAAATATATTTTGTTTTACAGATGTCCAAACCTTAAAACTATGTAAATAAATGCAAACAGCTGGTTGAAGCACTAAATATTTAGCTACGGAAATTGAAATAAATTTGAATTTGATGCTTCCTTATGCTAGTCCACCGATTCAAATGTTTAAGTATTGTACAAGGCAATTGAAGAAGGATTATACCGCGTTTGAGTAAATCTTTTAAGTCAGGATTTGATCCCAACAAAATGTGAAAACATGAAATTAAAACTCTTATTATTATCTGCTAATGTGGATTGCAGCTACCGTAAACATTCTAGCCAGAAACAAGATAGTAAAGCATCGCGGGTAAAAATACACGTGACTCTAAAAACAAAATTAAAAACATTGTAATAATTCAGATATAGTTCAACTTGATTTATTTTTTAGTGTGAACATTGGTATTGTCGGAAAAATCTGGTCTTCCGTTGGCATCAGATCTAAAGAGTTCTGAAAATTGTTGCCTTTCTCTTCTAAATAAACTCTTGGCGTCTGGAAGTTAAAATGCATATGAAGAATAAGAAGAAAAACTAACAGGAGAAGGAGAAGATTAAGTGAAGACGTACGGGACTTTTCAACAGGTTGAGGTCCAAATCTGTCCTCATATTTCTTCTTCTTCTTCTTCTTCTTCTTCTTCTTCGTCTTCCCCTGGTGCCTCTCAACGCCGGGTTAGCCATTTGACATACTCCTTTTTGTCTTGTGCCTTGAGTTTCACCTCTCCCAGTGTAGCTTTCGCATAGATCCTGTAAATATGCGTCCCATATACCTCTTGGTCTTCCAGGTGGTGTCTTTGCCTCTGGCCTGGCTGCGATCATTTGTTTCGGCTTTCTATCCTCTGCCATTCTATCAACATGTCCATACCACTTCAGAGCCTTATTTTCCATTTCCTTCAGTAGCGCAATAGTTCTTCTCTAATTGTGTTATTTCTTATCTGATCGCTTATTGTTTTCCTCACTATCCTAGGTGGAAATTTCATTTCCACTGCTGTTATTCTACTTTCTGTTTTCGTATTATGTGGCATACTTTCAGTTCCATATATAAATGTTGGTATATATACGAACTTATAAATTTTGAGTTTTGTTTTAGTGCCTACATTCATACTTAGTAAGTTCTTATTTATTTGATAATACACCGCATATTTTTCCTATAGGTAAAATATTCACTATTTCTATATGCTGCGAAAAAATCATCTGCTCTCTCGCGCTGGAATTTATTGAATATAATATGAAAGATCCACACTTTTCACTGCGCTTGCTGTTCTCTCGGGTTATCTTTGTGTAGAACAAGCGCTCCTCTAGGCTCGAGCTCCAATTCAAACACTAAGCAAACAACATTGCCCACGTCCGTGACAAGCCCGGAATTTGTCCGGGCACTAGTTCCTCGATAATGAGAAGCAGAAATTCGATGTGATGCAAAAATGTGCCCGCGGCATACAAGTATATTTAATATTCTTTGCCAATATTCGATTATTTTTGTCACACACACATACCAATGTATGAAGGTTCTGTTCGATGTGTGTGTACACTCCTGGTAAGCCATCAAACCAATTTTAGATCATAATCCATGCTGGTGTCATCAGGTAAATTACCTCGAAAAGCCAACATGCTTGTGACATCCATTGTTTCGTTTGGAAAGATGGATCTGAGCCACTCGAAGCCAGCAAACACTGATTTCATTTTTTGTAATCAACGATCCAATCACCGCTTAAAGCCAACAGTCGCTTGAGTTTCTATGCTTCTGCAATGCAAATTTTTGCCTACAAAGCCTTTCTTCAAAACAACTTTTGAGTACTTATTGCGACTCAACCATTCAGAATATTCCCGTAGTTTATTAGACAAAATATTCTTTAATTTGTGTTAAGAGCTTATTTGAGAAGTTTCGACGTTTTCTTCCCGGACATCCGTCAATAGTGAATATCTTTCTATAGGAAACAATGTCAGGACAGGTTTGGACCTTTTGACTTAGAAAAGGAAAGAAGCAGAAGTGGAGGAGGAGGAGGAGGAGGAGGGCCACTGGCCTTGAGGTCGATGGTGCGCTGCTTCACGTCGCGCCGCATGTTGGCCGCCTGCCCCTCGCGCAGCAGCATGTCCTGCTGCAGCTTGTTGTTGCGCGCCGCCAGCTGCTTGTTCTCCTTGAGCATGCGCTCCGACCGCAGCTGCGCAACGCCCGCGGCGCCGTCGTCGTTTGCGCGACGTTCGAACCAACACCAACCACAGATAACAGGCTCTAGGAAATGGTCTCGGGTCATGGAATCTGGGTTGGGCAGTATTGAAATACGTATTTGAACATCTTTTGTTTGACTACGTTACACGGCATGTCATTGGATCGGGGGGAGTAGGGTGTGGAATCGCGTAGTGACGTGTGGAATAGCATGGTGTGACAGGCACGGCATGGCGTTTTGGCGCGGAGTGGTATGGGGTGGGATGGCGAGCACGGCGGGGAGGCAGGGCACGGGGCGTGGCGAGAAGTG